AATGGTGAGTATAGTTTTCAGTCGTTAGACGACTTCCTTTGCGTCCCACATTTAATAGAAGTCGTTATGCTTGGGCTGCTGAGTCAAGGTCCACGCGATTGTACCATATTCAAGGATAAGACTGTTTGTAGTAGCCGGCCTTAGCAACAGAAAAATTACCAGGAAAAAGACAATTAATTGGTAACAAGAGGAACACTCATACAAGGGATGTACATAGAACAGACCAAAGAAGCTAACCAACGCACTTGTGATTTAGGACTTAATCCCCAGGGTTGTTTGCCACCCAGCGCAAGCGCCTAATTCCCGCCGGAGCCCTAAGACTCGGCTCCTAGAGCAGACTCATCGTGAGAAGGGTAGAAAGACACCAGCGAGCCACACTGTGATCCTGCGGTTACCTCCGACGAGGTAGGTCAGAGAGAGCACCTATCAGATCCTGCACCTGAACGAAGACAGACAAGGGATCTCGCGGGGGTTGAGAGTTCGAGAGGGTAGCGAAAGATGGGGTCGATCTGACCGCCGAACGTGTTTTTTGAGAGAAAAGAACGAAATGGACGGCTCCGATTTGAGGAGTTTGTTGCGTACTTTAGCACACGGCTTGAAGAAGCTTTAACTGCTAAAATATCCCAAATTCCAATAACTTTCTTTATATGTAGTTTGTTACTCAGCGTTACTACGAATGCATTTTTAATACATTTAGGTAAAATAATAGATATATATCTATTATTTTTCAGTGTTTATCCGAAATTTGTTTACCCAGAATTTGTTTTAGGCAAACCTCTGGGCCGGATTGGGGTACGTACGGCCCGGTTCGAACGGCCTGGGATCATTCCCGAGCTATGGTAGCGAAAGGCTTCCTCGCTCTCGGCTGCAGTCGCTTCTTCCTCCCCGTCCTCGGCTCCAATTGCAGCTCCTCCGAACCTCAGTTCGCCTTCTCCTTCCACCGGCGACGGACTGTAAGCTCGCGGCTCTCTGTTTGCTCCGCAGGGATGCCTCCTGTGGGAGAGTTCTCGGCCCCGGAGCTCCTGGAGGCGAAGGATGCTGCTGCTGTCGAATCACCGGGTGAAAGTATAATAGGTGTGGAAGGCTCCGAACCCGAGGTGAGAGGATGTAATGCACCTTTCGCCTCTCGCGATGATTGTGTTGGAGAGTTGGTTTGTTCTCCCAGTTCGCTTCGGCACCTACACGGAATGCTCTGTATACGCGGCGACTGGGTCTCTTTCCTCGGCGCGTTTTCTTCTGCATCGTTTCCCGTTGCTGGTGTATTCATCTATCACGTATCTTTTGTTATTGATCTCAGCGGCTGATTCACGTGGTTTATCCATAGTTATTCCTTGGTCGCGGAAGATTTCCGTCAATTACATATTAAACATTATTTAGGTTTAAAAATAGTTAGCTTATATGGTGACATTTATTTTATTTAAATATTTTGCAATGGTGATGCATGTTATTTACCAGCCTCCTCTGATTTCCAAATCCAATGCATATATTCAATGCAGCTAGCTCTTGATGGAGCTCCCGGCACGCTGTTGATATCGAGGAGAAAGTTTCAGTTTCACAACAAGGCAGAACCCTGTTAATGGAAAAGAGAGTATTACTAGAAAATAAATATGGAGAAACACTCGTAGGACTATTACACGAGAGTCATTCCAAGGAACTTGTTATCTTATGTCATGGATTTAGATTATCAAAAGAAAGTAGAACGTTATTAAAGCTCGCTGATGCTTTTAAAGAGGAAGAAATTGCTGTCTTTCGCTTTGATTTCTCAGGCAATGGGGAAAGTGAGGGATCATTTCAATATGGCAACTATTGGAAAGAAGCTGATGACCTACGTGCAGTTACCTTGCATTTTTCAAGTCAAGGGTGGAAAATAAATGCCATCAGAGGGCACAGCAAAGGAAGGAATGTTGTCCTACTCTATGCATCTTCATATCATGATGTTCCTATGGTTGTCAATATATCTAGACGCTTTTATCTGGGAAAAGGAATTGAAGAATGGCTTGACGCAGATTCTATTGAAAGGATTAAAAAAGACGGATTCATTGACGTCAGAGGCGAATCTGATGGGCGTTTGTGTCGTATAACTGAGGAAAATCTGATGGATATCTTGTCCACTGATACGTGTTCGTCATGCTCATTGATCGACAGTAACTGCAGGGTTTTGACTGTCCATGGATCGAAAGACGAGATAGTGCCAGTTGAGAACGCGACCGGATTTGCAAATGGTATTCCCAATCATATACTCCGAATTTTGGATGGTGCTAACCATCTATTCTCAGGGCATTCTTCCGAGTTATCTTCATGTATTTTGGAGTTTATTAGAGAACAACCTTCTTTAGGGAGGGAATTGCTGACTGATTAAATTTCGTCTTTTAGCACTATTTTGTTCGAACACTTTTGGAGTGTATATCAATTCGTATGTGCAGCAGAAAATTTATCGTGTGTAAAATGCGTTTGGAGATTTTATGACTATGTTGGCGACTTTCTGACGCTACGGTTCATTTGAAGACCCCTGGACCAGTTTTTTCGAGTGTAAGAGTGTTGCTTTATGTGTTGCTGTTGATGACACTTTCTTTTTGGGTTTTTGATGTATTCTTCACGTTTGATAAATATTTTCTGCGATTACTAAGACTGGACATTTGGTAAGATGTACACTTGGCTCGGAATTCTCTAAAGTTCTTGAATGCTATGACTAGGAGCTGCTTCTTGTCTCCTGAGAGAGAATATTAATTGACTGCTTCAGTTTATTGCAGAGAAGAAGAATATTTTCTTCCGTTGTGGTCAACTGAGGTTACCTCTGAGGATTTACATTTGAAGGTGGTCATGAAATCGAATTATTGAGTGTGTTTTACCGTGCATCAATGAAAACAACTTCTTCCCTGACGTCAACCTTCCTTTTGTTGACGACTACCAGATGGACAGTTTAGGAACAGTGACAAATTGGAATATCATAAAGAAAGAAGATAAACCAGATGAAAGCTAAGTTGTGGTCATAAACCATATGGTTTCAAACACTTACCAACAGTGGGAGATGACGTCTAAAATAGCTTTTGCTTCAAAGTCGTCTAAAATAGTTTCTGCTTGAAAGTCACACCAGATTTGTTTTCTGCCCAGCATGAAGTTTTCTTCTAAAGAAAGAAAATTGGGGTGAAATTATTATCGTCATGAAGTCCTGAATTAGTGCCATTTGACCTGATAACTTGAGAGGAACTTGAAAATTTCTCTGGATTGTTGTGCCAAACCTTCCCTCTATCTGTGTGCTCTACTCGTTTTGATGCTATTCTTCTCCCGGAGGAATGGAACCACATAAGAGCTTCTAGTCTGGCGATCGTTTTCTTGCTTTAGTAGCTCCATGAATATGGAGCTACTAAAGCAAACCTGTATCTAGCCTCTTTCTTGCTTTAGAAAGAGGAATGATATTCATGGAGAATATCGCATCTCTCTCCATCTAGCCTCTTTCACTCTTCAGCTATAAGTATTACACAGCTTCTCGATGCCTAAAGATCCTTTTTTTGGAGTAAACCTGTATCTATTATTCATGTGAGGCTTTTATTGATCACGATGATGTCGATGGTACCATCATGGACGGATACTACTGATGATACTTGATCAGCTCATTTTTTTCGACATGGATCTGATGTGGGTTTGACACTGAAAACAGGCTAAACTAGAGAATCATCTCCCATGGATAGAGAGAGAAAGAGATATTAGGAAATCAACTGGTGACCTCTGCAAGATTCCATTTTTCCTTCTTTTTTTTCATCTTTTGCTTCTGTGGTAAAGAGCAAGGAATTTGGTGGCCATGGGTGGTCGGGCACCCATCAATAATAGTCGCCAATAAAGGAGACCAGAGACGATGAGACTAGATAAGCTTCTTGATTCTCTCTCTCTCACCTTCTCTATCAGGGGTGCGATTGAGTGCAGGGAACTGAACCTGCGGCAGACACAAAGAAGAAACATCTCAGAAACGTACACGAAGCAGCTTCATCTTCAGTAGGCAAGTTGAGCTGCAGAGCCAGTCACAGAAATATCTCTCGGAAGTCAACTGGTCAGAATTTAATCGCGTTGACTGCTGCCGCGTGTAAGCGTGTCACGGGTGAGTTGACTAACTGATCCTTTCCCAGGAAGTTCCGAACTCTTATCAGCCTTGGTGATCTGTTTCCAGGTTTCTTCTTCTTGTTCTTCTCCCCTCTTCAGAACGTCTCCAAAGAACAATACATGAGGAGTGACGTCACAAGGATGGACCCTTGACCTGGGGGAGACCCAAGTAGCCGCCTCTGACCTGGAGGCATTTTGATCTCGGTCGTGGGAGCCTACCCGCGTCACGCCCAACGTCAGCGCCGATCCTGACCGGCGCACGTGGATGCGAGGCGACCCCTCGCCCCGTGGTCCTCAGTCCCGTCCGCGGCGGAGGACTATACACGTCGGCGGCCCGCGTGTGGGCTGCGGCGAACGGGGGCCTCGCTGTCGGCGTCGCCGGCGGTCCTCCGGCCCTCAATTATTGCGCGGAAGCGTGGGAGAAGAAGGCAAAACCTTCTGTCACTGAGAACCGGGTGTCTTGGGGAAGGAGGAAGGGGCGAGTGACGACGCTAGCCGTTACGTCGTCATGTCGTCGTCGGGGCCTTTTTACTATTCGTCGTCGTCAACAGAGCCGCCGGCGTCGTCTATCTTCGTCCCCGACAAAGGAGGGGACTTGGAAAGGGCTACCGGTTGCCCGCCCCGTCTGCTCCGCTTTTATCAGAAGGGGATGGAGGAAGATGGGAGAGGCCGCACATTCTATAAATAATGATCCCCCGGCCCGCCTCCGTCTGCTCAATCTTCTCACCGGTTATCCACATCCACAGAAGTCCGCTGTCTCCCCTCGCCTCCGGCCGCCGTCACGGATTATCTTTTTCCTGGACGGGCTTGGCGCAGGTATAATATTTATGTCGGCCACGCCCGCCGTCAATCATTCATCCCTCCGCCGCAGGCCGATCGAGCAGCGTCGCCGGGGCGTCGCAGCCATGGCCACCTGCGTCGCCTTCAATTCCCGGCGTGAGGGCGAGGGCGCCACCCGGGGCAGGGCCGCAAGCAGCGGCGCTCCGCCCACTGGTGCCAGGTTCGACGCCGCCTGCCCGTACAAGTTCGTGGACCTCTCCCGGCCGGACTTCCCAGAGCTGGCCTTCCCCTCCGCCGGCAACAAGAAGTACCTCCTACCCGGGGGGGACTCCGAGGAGGACGTCGACGAGGTTTGGGCCAAGCTGCGAGAGGAGGCGGAGGAGGACGTGGAGAAGGAGCCCGTGCTGCGGACCTACTACCACAACGCCATCCTCTCCCATGCCTGCCTGGAGAGCGCCCTGGCCTCTCACCTCGCCAACAAGCTCGGCAGCGCCGAGCAGATCCCCTGCGGCGTCTTGGTGGAGATCTTCCTCGACGCCTTCCTGGCCGATCCGGAGGTCCAGTGCGCCGTGCGAGCTGATCTCCGGGCGGCGCGCGACCGGGACCCCGCCTGCTCCAGCATGGCCCACTGCCTCCTCTACTACAAGGGCTTCCTCGCCTGCCAGGCCCACCGGGCGGCGCACCGGCTTTGGGCCAGCGGGCGCAGGGTGCTGGCCTTGTTTCTCCAGAGCCGCGTCTCGGAGGTCTTCGCCGTGGACATCCACCCCGGGGCCCGGATCGGCAAGGGGATCCTCCTGGACCACGCCACGGGCCTTGTGGTGGGCGAGACGGCCGTCATCGGGGACGAGGTGTCCATCCTCCACAACGTGACGCTCGGCGGCACCGGTAAGGAATGCGGCGACCGCCATCCCAAGATCGGCGACGGCGTTCTGGTCGGCGCCGGCACCCAGATCCTGGGCAACGTCCGGATCGGGGCCGGCGCCAAGATCGGCGCCGGCTCGGTGGTGATCAAGGAGGTGCCCCCCATGACAACCGCCGTGGGGAACCCGTCGAAGCTGATCGGCGGGAAGAAGAACCCGCTGATGCTGGACAAGATACCAGGCCTCACCATGGACCACACCTCCTGGTCGGACTACGTCATCTAACGTTCTCCCTCTCCGGACTCTCGTGAGGGCTCCATCCTCCCCCTACGTGCCCCGCCCTCCCCCCCTCCCCTACAGCAGGCCTTCATCCTTTTCTTCCACATGGAGGTTCCCGGAGGAGAGGAGGTTGGGCCTGTCGTGGTGTGAAGCAAGAACGAGGAGCGTCAGCCATTTTGCTGTAGATTAGTCCGTCGGGAAATTATGCGCGTCGTGCCGTCTTAGGTTCCCATCTTCACGGTGACGTCCAAAGAATGAAGAGATCATCCCGAATACCCACCGATTCTACGCCCTCTCCGGGGAAATTATTCCGTCGTAAAACCGATCGGTCTGTTATTTGATCTCCGCTCAGCTGACCCGTTATCTTGAACCCATCACGACAAGGTCGGATTGACCGAGGATCAGGCTTTTGGAAATACTAAATCACGAAAAGGGCCCAAGGTCAAAATGCTGAGAAAGATCTTCAAGATCCACGGCCCCTGATGTAAGCTGCCACTCACCGAGAGAGAGAGAGAGAGAGAGGGCAACCCGGAGATGTTTAATTGGGCCACATTTATCCAGTTTTTTTTGGGCCTATGCCTAATTAGGCTGAGTCGTTTCAACTGTCTTTGGTGCGGGGAAAGGCGTAAGGGTGGAAGCCGCCCCTGATGCTTGCTTCCACCAGGAGAAGACAGATAGGGAAGGCTCCGGCGGAAGATGAACGGCGTCCTTCTCCGGCGCCGGCTCTGCACCTTGCCGGAGAACGGAAAGGAGGTAACCGCGTCCGTCCTCAGGCCCATCAGTCGATTCCCGGGAAGTATGCCGGTTCCCCACCGATCGATCGCGGAGCCGGTGGGGCAGGACCTTGACTTCGTGACCGTCGCTCACAGCCACCTGGTCAGCGGGGAGTGGCCCCGGCTCGACGCCCTCGCCGGTGGCCTCACACCCTTGCGGGTGAAGCACGTACTCCTGAGAGTCCAGAGGGACCCCGTCCTCTCCCTCGAGTTCTTCGACTGGACTCTGCTCCAGAACCCCGGGCTCCACACCCTAGAGAACCAAGCCCTGATCCTCCACATTCTGACCAGATCCGGGAGGTTCAGGCCTGCCGAGTCCATCCTGAGGAAGAGTGTCATCCCGAAGGCAGCGGGGACCGGCCTGGACCTCTTTGACGCCCTCCTCTACTCGTACCGGCTCTGCGACTCGTCGCCGCGCGTGTTCGACTCCCTCTTCAAGACCTACGCTCACATGAAGAAGTTCAGGGACGCCACCGAGACCTTCCAGAGGATGAGGGACTTCGGGTTCTTACCGACCGTCAAGTCGTGCAACGCTCTCCTGAGCTCGCTGCTGGATTTCGATCGGACGGACATTATTTTGACGTTCTACAGGGAAATGAGCAGATGCGGGATTTCGCCGAATGCGTACACGCTGAACATGGTTATGTGCGCTCTTTGTAATTCAGGGAAACTGGAGAAGGCCATGGGTGTGTTCGAAGATATGGAGAGGAAGGGATTAAGCCCCATGATCACCACGTTCAACACACTGATCGACGGCCACTGCAAGAAAGGCCTCCTAGAATCCGCCCTGAATCTCATGAACGCGATGATAAGCAGGGGTTTGCACCCGAATGTGGTGACATACAACACACTCATCCATGGGTTCTGCAAGGAAGGCAGATTAGAAGAGGCGAATAAGGTTTTCAACAAGATGAAGACTGCTCAGATAGGTCCTAATATCGTGACCTACAACACTCTCATAAATGGCTACAGTGAAGTTAGCAACAGCGAGATGGGTCTGAGGCTGCGTGAAGAGATGGTAAGAGATGGGCTTCAGGCTGATATTCTCACTTACAACGCCCTGATCATGGGGCTATGCAAAGAGGGGAAGACGAAGAAAGCAGAGTCCCTGGTGAAAGAGCTCGAAAAAGAGAATTTATTTCCCAATGCTTCGATTTTTTCTGCTCTCGTAACGGGGCAATGCAGGAGGCAGAACTCCGAGAGGGCGTTTCAGATTTATAAGGCAATGAAGAGGTGTGGGCATCAGCTGAATCCGGAGACCTTTCATCTCTTGATATCCACATTTTGTAAGAACCAGGATTTTGAAGGAGCTGCGGAGGCACTGGGGGAGATGCTCCACGGATCGATAACTCCTCAGGAGAGCCTACTGGTTGAACTTGTCGAGGGTCTTCGTAGATCTGGCAACTCACACTCAACTGTGGGGCTACTATCAAAAATCAGCACACAGATGCGCATTCCAGAAAAGTTTCTGAAGGATTTGACATGCGCTTAACAGTGGAGGTGCAGAGAAATTCTTCTTGGGAGGAATCTCTGTGGACATCAGTTATGGATGTCAGATGCAGGAGATATACGCATTTGAATGCTGATGAATGCCAGGCTGTTGTGAAGGATGAGTTCTTTTGTCGTCCACATGTGCCGCATTGGAACAAGGACAGAACAAGGATAACTGTGGCATTGGATTGGGTGAATTGGTGGTTTTATTGCTGGAGGGAGGTTCAAAGCAGTGCACCTCGCAGGATTTCTCTGTGTGAAGCTTCTAAGGTGGGCGTCCACCAATGCATATGGGAGGCATTATTTCCAGCTTATTAATCCGTCTGATGTTGCCCTTCTAGAAGGCGAAATAAACACACGCAGAAGGCATTGATGTAAATAACTCTAGAGAAGACCAAGAGAGTTGCTTCCATGGTCTAGGATTTTTTTTTCTTGCTTTTGTCCAGTTGACTTTTTACAGGACTGAAGAATCTTGAGGGACAATACAAAATATCAGCTCTCCAAAGTCTACTGTTCCCATTGGATATGTTTATTTGAAGCATAACCAACCCCAGCTCTCGGAGTTTGAAATATGAAGTGCCTTGGAGACGTGGGCTCCTGAAGCATCAAGAACCATAGGTAGCTAGGTCAATTTCCTTAACATTCTCTTGGAGTTCGGTTTAATTTGCCTTTCTTGTAGCAAGAATCAAAATGACTGGATCTTATCTGACTTGTTGAGGGCAGCAATTATTTCTCGGATTAGGAACGCAGCTCTTTCGTGGGGTAAAATCCTTGAAGCTCTCTCCCCAATGAAGTCTTCATATCTAGAGTATAGTTGACCGCGTTTTCTAATCTGGCTCCTGATAAACTGATGAGTTTTGGTCAATTTGATATCCCAATGCCCCCCCCCTTTTCCCTGCTCCTAGAAATCACAGTCAAAATCCATTTTTCCCCTTTTCTGGTGATTGAGTGGGGTCAGTGTATTGTACTTCATCCTTGATTCATTAATTTTTCCTCTGGGACTACATCCTATGATGGTGATTGCGTGAGCTCAGTATGTGATTGTAATTTATTCATTCTTAATGATCTTTGAAGTGGCGTGTTCTCTCCACTGCAACAACATCTCTGCCGTTTAGTCTTCCCCTTCCTTTCCGATTACTATCGACCACGTTGTTCTGGGAAGGCCAGAAGGCTTGGTGTTTTCAGAGATTACGTCGGCTCCTAAATCTTCTGGAGAGAGAAGAGGAGAGAGAGAGGGGGGTGTAAATGCTTTACACCTGTGAAACCATTGGCCGTGAATGTCGCAGATGCTGTCACACTCAAAGAAAGATTATGATATTTTACTCGCACTTGTGAAATGATTGGCTGTATTCACAGTACGGACTATTATTCTGCTCTCTCCCTCTCTCTCTCTCTCTCTTGCCCCCCCGTATCCCTCACCAGAAGATAAACTTGCTTGGGAAATAAATATATTTTCAACGCTTGCCCCGTAATATTTGGGACATCCTTCTTGTTCTTGCGAAGTAAATATTTTTTTAACATTATGGGAGTAGGGCAGCTACCTTGGAGCAAAGACTGATTCTTCATCTGATTTATGCATCATCTAGAATAATGGGATAATCATACAATATTTGAGATATTTTCCCTTTTTAATCCTCCCCGTGTCCTGTCACCCCATGAGAATGGAGCATGCGAGAACAAGGTTTTGAGCATGCGAGAACAAGGTTTTATTTGGTAAAATATTATGAAAACTCTCTGCGGATAAATTGTTGGTCATTAGTGGGTCCGAGTGATGTAAAAAAAATAAAATTCCTCGAAATTATGTGGAGAACTGAAAATAAGGCTTTCACTGTAAAAATAATAACACGATAACATCAATTGGATGCCTGAGAAAATAAAGAAATACCCTCGAAAAATAAATTTTGGATGTGGAGGATGATCCATGAAAGGACCTGCCCGGATATTTTTTTGCCACAAAATGAACAATTATTTTATTTATAGGAAATTAGCCGGCGAGAAAGAAAATAAATCGAAAATTGGACGTCCTGAGGGAGATTATAACAAGGAAAATCGCCAAAGGAGATTAGCCTGACATATTAGGAGATAATCAAGTAGTTAGCCCCCCCACAACCCCCTAACTTATGGGTCGTTCCGTTCCATCGCGGACCCGCCACCATATAAACCCCCCGCGGTTCGCCGGCTACTCTTTCGGAGGACCCGATAATTCTCCCTCCCGTTTCTTCCTCTTCCCGCCACCTTCTCCTTGTCTCTCTACCTCTCTTGTCTCTCTGTCTCTCGCTCTGTCCCCGCCAGAATCAAGAACCAGCTCCCGTCGAGATCCGAGGGAATGGCCACCCTCTCCCCTTCTCTGCACCCCGTCCCTTCAAGCGGCACTACCTGCCGAGTGGCTTTTGGACCCCAAACGCATTCGGCGTGGCCGACGGGATCGGCAGCTGGAGCAGGCGAGGGATCGACGCCGGCGAGGTCGCCCGGTAGCCCATGTCCTCCTGCGACGCCCAGATCAGACGACTCTCCTACAGTGGAGCCATCGGGACCCTGCTGCAAGAGACGCTGAAGACCGCACTGGCGGGGACGACCGCCAGGGGACGTCGACGGCGTGCGTCGAGGTGATCAGCATCGGCGACAGCGGATTCATGGTTGTGCGGACCAACGCGATCCGCTCGACAGTGCCATGAGCTTCACGGTGCAGCTCGCATTGGGCGACGTCGTCGTGGCGGCAACCGACGGGCTCTTCGACAAGGAGATCGTCGCCCTGGTGACGAAAGAGCGAGCGGAGCGCCTCCTCAGAACCGCGTCGGACATAGCTCACGCCTTGGAGGCGGCGCCCGTCGCTGCCTTCTCCGGAAGTAAAGACACTCCCTTCGCGGCGGCCTGCCGGGCGGAGGGGCTCCCATGGACCGGCGGCGAGCCCGACGACGTGACGGTCGTCGTCCTCACGGTGCGCACCTCGAAGAATGCTCTCGCCACGTTCTGTTCTCCTAACGTGCATCATCATCGTAGCTGACACGCCTCGTGCTGATAAAATCAGGTCGAAGCCGACAAGAATCTAACAGACGCCAAGAAGGAACAAGACCACCCATGCTCCACGATGGATCAAAGGTATACCCGCATTCTGTACTTCCATCCATCATACGCAGACAAAGACGAAGAGCACAGAATACAGCCTCCGCGCATTTTATGCTGTACTTCCATCCATCTCGAGTATCCGCATTCTGATGCAAGCTGGATGGGAGCCAGCATACGCAGACGAAGAGCACAGAATATGCCTGCGGATGAACGACCTCTGGAACGGCAAGTCAACGACGGAAACCGACTGACTACAGTGCAGCATAGAAAACCTCCTTCGTGTAACCTGTGGGGATTATTCGAGCGATCTTCCCGCTTTCGCTGTTCAAAGTTTGAATCGTTAATGACAGAAGCAAAGACTTTGTAAGATATGGCGCCGCATTCCTTGTCCGCAAAGTTCAGACGGTAATATCAGCATATTATTATCCAAAGACGAGCTTGTGCGATATTCATTAGCCTGTGAGGAAGAGAAGGAAGCGGAAGGGAGGGGAGGGAGGGAGCGAGGGCGTCTCATCTTATGGAACCATTTGTAATGGACTTGACCTTGCACACACCTGCCGATGTCGTCAGGGGCAAATCCTTGTAACACGCCGTCAGCCCTGAATCTGTGCGAAGATCGGGCTGCAACGCCTCCCAGATTTTCTTCTTTGGGTTGAGCACCTCATCTGGTTCACCAGGGCATCCGGGGAAAGTCACTCTTTCCCCCACGCGGGAAGTCGCCGGCGGCTCAACCAGCTCCACCTGAGACAAGTTACATTTGAGGGGAGGAGACAAAAACAAGAAAATGATGCTGCGGTAGAACCCTATAGTCTGTTTCGATCCAAAGTTTCAGTGTGTGTGTAGTTGTGAGAGGAGGGGATGGCTTACCTTGGTACCATTGGTAGCAGCCAAGAGCATCGCACATGATTTTATCCCTCTCATTGCTGCTGGTTTCAGATTGCACAGAACACACACTCTGCGATTCTGCCCATGGAGGAAAAACACTTGGCGTCAACGGCGGAGAATGGCAGGGACAGTCAACGGAAGGGAGATAGATTCGGAGACAGAAGGGAGATGACCTGCATCTCCTCAAGAGGAACGTGGGCGACGAGCCCGCTGACTACAGTTCTTGTCGATGCTTCCCCGACGTCAATCTCTTCTACATAAAGGGAGTCGGCAGCGGGATGCTTCTCAACTCGCGTGATGAGACCCACGCGGATGTCCAGCCTTGAAATAGAAATTTCCTCCGACTCTGGTTTTGACTCCGGTTGCGGCTTACCTTGCTTCCGTTTATTCCCCTTTTCTGCAAAGAGAGAGAGAGAGAGAGAGAGAGGAGATGGGAAAAAAATAAAGAAATCCAGATCAATATCTGTAATGAACAAAATGCATGGATTGTGATGAAAGGAGCCATCGAGTTCCATAAGCTGTGAGGAACGATGGCACAAAAGTATCTACAATTCATGGGTTTGTAAATGCGCATCTCCAAAATATTTCTTCTCATTCCAAAGATAGCATACCAATGAATAATTATCCTTACACCTCAACAGATACACTCATAGAAATTTAGAATTTTATCATGAATGGTAAGTTGGACCCAGGAGTATGTGATGCCTGGCGTGTGAAGCAAAAACACCCTTCAAGAAATGAAGGGGTAAGAAGGTGCTTAGCCTTAACTCCTTAGCTAGAAAACATGTAAGAGGCGATAAACTCAAGGGAGAGAGGAGGAAGAATGATAAGGCATTGAAAACCTGTTGAAAGAAAATGAGGGGAAATAAGAGCATGCGCGCATTTAGGCCACAAATTGTGCATTCGAGGAAAGCTAACGCAAGGTCACTCGGGAAACAGTGACTAAACCTGAAACTGTCAGGCCCTTGACCTGTTCCGCTACTATTTTTGCATCAGCTTGTGCTTTTATAATCCTATCGGCTTGGCACCCAGCAAATTTTTGCCTAAAAAATTCAATGTCTTCATCTTTCTGCATAAAAAGTGATCATCAGGGATCATGGTCTCATGCTTGCGCGAAACTTTTCAATTTCCCGTCTGATTGACAAGCACCCAACGCATAAAGAAAATCAAAAGAACATAGAAAAAATGGGCATGCATACCAGTTCCTTGAAGAGGGGGCGTGGCGTGCCTATTTTGTGTCCAGATAGTATAAGATCCCATGGACTTTTGGCTCTATTGATAAACCCTTTCTCATCGCAAAGTGAAAGTTGAGCATCCGGATACAAGTTGAGCTGTTTCAGAACCTTTATGCCACCAAAAGCAAAAAAAAACAAAAAAATATTCGGAATGTCCATGTTTTCTGAATTAAATGGAATTTGGTGGATGATGATGGAGTGCGTTCAGAAATTTAAATTACCTCGATGGAAAAGGATGGCATGAAAGGTTCCAGTAATGTTGCTAGAAGATACACGATTCCAACAGAAGTCTTCATCACAATGGCACATGATGAAGGATCTTCCTTATAAAGCTTCCAGAATTGACTGTCCTGCATACATTTTCGAAAGGCAAATGGATTTCAGAGATGATGTTACTTGTACGTAAAAAAATAAACAGAGAGAACATTAACTTACCTGCAGATAAGAATTCCCCTCACTTGAAATGCTCATCGCAGTTTTAAGGCCCTGTTTTAGTTTTACCTGCGTAAAATAGATCTTGGTTTAAATAATTTGACTCGTCTAGAGCAAGATGAAAGCGGACAGAAAATCAAGGCCATCAAAGCTCGTTGCCACATCTTGGAGAGCGGATAGCTCCAAGGTAATCTGAACTCTCTATGAAGGGCACAGGAAAATCTAATGATAGAGTATCCAGTAACCTTTTCCATGGCATCAATATACTGATCAACGTAAACGCCAACTTTCTCTGCCAAGATTTTGGTTTTATGATACGACGCTGGATTGGGAGCGTCGGGGATAATTGAATTATACCCTTGTCCTGAAAAGGGATGATTGACTGTCAATATTTTATATTTGACCAAATCATACAACAAACTATCATCTTCACCGGATAGGGATACAATTTAGCCAAAAACATCAGAAAAAGATACACAATAACATAAATAGACTTTCAAAGGTGACACTCCAAGTCATACAAAATATCAATGAGGTGGATACGGAGGAAAAATTGATTGTGATTAAATAATAAAGCTAATAAAAGACTGGAAGGAAATAGACATGGAGTTGATATCACCAAAATAAGAAATGGTTTTATCAAATTGGCAGCCTTCTTGGTGAAGAGGTCCAATGATCAGTTATGAAGATAAAGAAAACATCACAGAAAAAAAATAGGCACGAATAGTCACTTTACGGAAGCAAGCCACCGTGGCCACCTCCCTGTTCCTAGTCAAGAATATTTGTTACTCCCTCATCATCGTTGACATTTCTATTGGCAGTCTCTATTGACTCTTTGACGCCCAAATTTTTTCTCACAGAGAATCCTTTTATCGTCGGTTAGGCATTTTCATCCGAGAATACTGAGATGGATGGTGAATCGGTTTGCTAATGCCCTATCAATACATGGAGATAATACCCGATGGGAATGGACATTGCCGGGATATAAATGATCAGACGCTATCGTAAAATAGTAAAATTAACCTGAAGGTTTGGCAATGAAACTCAAGACACGGTTTATGAAGTTTCCAAGATTATTCAGCAGCTCATTGTTTAGCTTAGCCTGCAAGTCTGCCCAGGTAAAGAGAGTATCTGATACCTGAGGCATTAAAAAAAGAATAAAAGCTTAGTACACGAGAAAACAAGAAATTGGCTATAACAAAACAAAGCAAGGAGACGCCCATTCCTTATTAGGACTCACCTCAGGTCTATTAGTTAGCAAATAATATCTCCATACTTCTGAAGGAATTTTTGTATCCTTAGCGTCATTACCAAAAACCCCAATGCCTTTACTTTTGGAGAACTTTCCTGCATGAGAAGGAAAAATCAAACCAATACTCACAAATCTATCCGGTTGTTTACAATGTAAACGCACACAAAATGAAGAGATAAGAAAGAGTATATTTTTCTGGTAATGTTAACTAAGAATCATGTAGTTCAGTCAGACTGAAATTAGACAACTAGGTCAACCAAAAGCTGTCATACCCAGCCGAATTCAAAAAAACTATGCATCCATTCTTTAAGCAGGGAAGTCAGTAACAAATGGCCACAAGGAGAACCACAAAAGGTCAAAGTCAGCCAACCCTTCCCATAAAACTTTTAGTTACATGCACTGTTTGTTCGGGGATCAGGAACACTAATCGACGACTGTCTAGGTACCTCGGTATCATGTTACATTTTTCAATTTTACGCCAGACGGTTCTTCTTTTCTTTTCAATGTAGGAAATTACAGACGTGCTTCTCCACATCAAACCCAGAAAGACTGAACCAACATACTTATTCGCACGGAAAGGTGTCTTCTTTTGCCAATGATACCTTTGAGATGCAGGACACTCTTTCTCCTACCAGTAGTTGCCACACCACGTTATGCAAATAGAGTTCTGTTATCTTGGCACTAGCTAAAACTCAAGGTAAGCTATCCCAACCACAATTTCCGTGTGTGCTGATAAATCTGAAACTTAAAGTTAAGCACGTTGCTTCATCTAAAATCATCACATATGTTCTTCATGGTTTTAAGATCAGGAACAACTCCGAATGCGGAGATCTTACGGGGGGCAAGCTATGGGTACCAAACGTATAAACCACAGCAATTCAGCGCCACCATCATCACACAATTCCTCAACATGAGAAGGCTGCTATCTATGGCCTGGGAAAGAAGAAAAGAGCAGACATCTTTTGTGAGCCCATCCCAAAGATGGTGTAGAGGATAAGTGAGAAATAGGAGAGCTACTTGAATCCGCACCCTCGACAACAAGACGCGATAAAATTTCTTGATATATATCCGTTCAACACGTTCATTGGTTACATATATTTTCTTCCTCTGTGTTTAAAAATTAAATGATGGGATAGATCGGAGTCAATGATATGGACCAGTTTTTCTTTGAGACACTTTGAACCAGTTCATTATCTTAGAGACACTTCCCCTTATGAAGATGGATTTTGATGGTACATGCCATGGAAACAAGTCAGAAATATGGTGGAGAATACCTGATTCATAATTCAAGTACTCTGTCACACTGATAGTCTTCATTAGAGTCCACGCTTCACCAGTCCCAAGAAGACTGGAAGGGAACATAACCTGGTAATTTGATAATCATACGAAACTTATCAAGCTCTACATAAGACCACTCAACAGACTGTTTGTTTCATAAAAACTAGAAACAACAGAGCGTGCAGATAAAGTTGTTCTTTTCGAGTCTGCCAATAGAAATTTCCATTATTCAAAAGTTTTGAGAGAAATATGAGGAATTATTTTCATGAAAGAACATTCCGTTCATCCAGGTTTCTCTACAAAAACATTCTGGAAGGTTGAAGAGATGAGCAAGCTTGTGCCAAAGAAACTCCAGGTATATCCTGTATGAGAATCAACATAGCCATCTTGCTTTCTTCGGGAATTTTTTTTATCTCCTACGACAGTACAGAACTGGACAAACCAAAGACCAAGTGACACAACGTCCAACAGATGTAGGGGAAAGAAAAAATACCGTGTGAAAAGGGACGTTATCCTTGCCCATAAACTGATATAACTCCACATTATCGGGATCTTTCCACCACTTTTCCCATTCCGTTGTATAACATGAAGTGATTGAGATATATCCAATTGGTGCATCAAACCAGACATAGAAAACCTGAAAAGAAAAACATTCCACTTTCAAAACCTTTGAATTCTTACTATATAGTTAAGCAGGGTAAGTTTTCTGTTTTTCACAGATATCATGTCTTCCTTTGGTATTATGGACACGGAAAAAGTTGATTCAACAAGTCCACTATTGTTCTCACCGGAGTTATTCCCCCTATGGTAAATATCATCCTCAACTAGATGATGAGGTCTTTCATTGCTCTTGTTTTCAGCATGCCTAGGGAATTTTATCAAGCACAATCCAAGTCTAGCCATTTAAGGGTGGCATTGCTTTCAACAGATAATGGGACGGGGTTTTTACCACATCAAGAAAGAAAAAAAAAGCAAGCCAAAGAACATCAGATAGAGACACAGTAGACAGAAATTTGCGTGGATTTAGTTAAAAACCTTGTCTTTATACTTGTCGTGTGGAACAGGAACACCCCATTTGAGATCCCTCGTAATACAACGAGATTTAAGGCCTTCCTTTAGCCATGCATATGTGCCTTGAATAGCATTTTGACTCCAACCACCCGCCACTGACATCTTGTTGATGTAATCCTCCAATTTATCTTTGAGCAGAGGAAGCTCTAAAAATAGATGATCAGTGTCACGGATTTGCGGGGTTCTGCCGCACACCTATGACAAATGAATAAAAAGGAGGAACCAACAGTGTCATCAAACAGAAGTTGTTAAAACTGGCGGCGTCTTTCGAGGTCATGCAGGACGTATACCTTACACCTAGGATCATTCAGTTCAGTTGGGTTTAAAAGCTTGCCACAGTTCTCGCATTGGTCCCCCCGCGCAGACTCATAGTTACAACCTGGAGTTGGACATACACCTTCCACAAGCCGATCCGCCAGGAATCGCTCACATGTATTGCAGTAAAGCTGCATTTAGGGAGGCTTAGGAAGAGCGCAGAAACACAGAACTTCCTTGGAAAATAAGAGAACTTTCTCATCTGTGTGACAACGGATAGGAATAACCTGTTGCATGGTGTTCTCTGAGAGCCATTTGTTGTCGAGGAGCTTCTGGAAAATAGCTTGGCAGACCTCTGTCTGCTGTGGCGTCGATGTACGTCCAAATTCGTCAAAGCTGATGTCGAACCATTCATAAACCTCTTTGTGAAGAGCATGGTACCTAAGTGCATCAAGAACATACAGAAGTCAGCAGAAAAAGAAGTATGATATCATTTAACTATTGGCATTCAAGATCATTTTTGTCTGGCCATAAAGAAATGCGATGCGTCATGCGGGGGGAAATCATTTCAACAAGGTGGATTTCCAGTGTGGACGGGTTGACAAAAGTGCAGCTGACTGATTACGTTAGGAATCAGCAACTAAAGTTTAATCCCACGCCCGATATTTTCACTGACTTGTCGCAAATCTGCTTGGGGGTGCAGTTTTCTTCCATGGCCTTGGTCTCAGTGGCGGTGCCGTACTCGTCGGTCCCGCATATGTATATAGCGTTATAGCCCCGCAGCCGGCAATAACGCGCGAAGACGTCCGCGCTCAGCACGCCTTTAAATTCATCCATGGAAAGCAGAATTAGCAGGCATCCGATCAAACAGCTCGCCGAAAGAGGCACCGAGAAACAGTAGGAACTAAACGCAGAGTACGGGGCAGAGAGAGAAGGGGGGGCAGTTACAGCCGATGATGTTGCCAAGATGGGGGACGTTGTTGACGTATGGAAGAGCGCTGGTTATGAGGATGTTGCGACTCCCCGGGATTGGGAGCTTCGGGAGGGGCCTCTCCCCCTCGTCGCCGGCAACCTTCGACCTGTCTCCCATGTCTCCTAGCCAGATCACGACTCAGTCTCCTCCGCTCCTCTGGTAATTCCCCTCGGTTCGCTCCTATCAGAATGTCAAGGCGACGGAGAATCGCTGAAAGTGGAGCATCGAATTCTACATCCGCCGGCGACGGCGGGCCCCGTTCTCCGACAAACCACATCTGCTTCCTCGAATCCGACGTGCTCCCACGCACATTGACTTTGATCCACTGACAATTCCACCGAGTATAGAATCTTCTCCTTCCCGCTCACCGGTCCGGTCCACGGGGGTTTCTTCGGGAAGGGACTTGGACTCTCGCGCTGATTGCGTCATATGACGTACGAGGCGGGGAGGGGGGTTCCGTTGACCAGACCTCGTCAAAGAAGAGTGAGGCCCAAGGAAGCGTTGGTGGGCTCGGGCCATGTAGAGGGAGGTGCTATAATTGGGTTGTTTATTTATGGGCCTGGCCCAGAAGCACCGTTGCCCATCCAGCAACGCGAAAGCGACCCCTCTGGCGAGTAACGGATTTCCGCATGGCCTCTGGCATCCACGTGGACGTGTAGATTGTAGCCGGGACTAATTAATTACAGTGACCGATAACGGCGGGGAGCGTGGAGACGACGTGACGAGAGGAGACGGATCAGATGGCGGAGAAAAACCAGGAGGCAAATGTAGGAACATGGGTCGTCTTTTTCTCATCGAGCTTCTTCTCGCCTGCTTGCTGCTGTACCGTATTCATCTCTGCTGCTAATCAATCAATGAAAGAACATGGGGGAAGGATGGGTAAAAATAATTGATGGCGAGGTCAGGGCGAGGGAGAGGGAAGAGAGAGAGAGCCTTCGATGAAACGGGTCGATCAGCGAGCTGGGCAAAGGAACATGAGGGAGGAGCGCTTCCCGCCGAGCCGCTCGTAGCAGTCGATGGAGAAGAGGGAGAGAGAGAGCTGGGCCTCGTCCCTGGACCAGGCCGCCGGCGGGCGAGTCGGAGCGGCGCTGGCGCGACCCCGCCGGGCCATCTTCCGTGCCAGCACGGGGCCGACGCAGGCCCGGTAGAGCCGCTGGTACCCGCCGAGGGCGAGCACCACGGCCTTCGCCTCCGCGCCGACGCCGCGCCCGGCGTGGCGCACGCAGAGGCGCTCCCAGAGGGCGTCCCCGCGGGAGAGAGCGCGCCACAGCCGGCAGACGCATGCCGCCACGCCCAGCGACCTCCCGTCCAGCCGGCAGAGTATCTCCGCCAGGAGGTCCTCGTTGTCGTTGATGCAGTAGCCTCTCGGCAACGTCCTCCGCCTCTTCTCTGGTTCCACCGCACCCGCCGCCGCCCCTCCCCCACTACCCATCAACCTCCCTCTCTCTCTCTCTCTCTCTAGCTCCCTCTTGGTGCGGCTGCCACGGCTGGCGGTTCTCTGCCAGCGGCGGGCGCTGCGGGGGAGGAGCCTCGACTAGACATGGTTTCACAGGTATTTAAGGAAGATCTGTAAGGACTGTCACCGGAGAAGCGAATATTGTGGGGAGGAAAACTCGAGGGGATGGAGGAGCGCGGGGAATGTGTGCAACAGGGTATCGGGCGAGCGCGAGGAAGGAGCCAATGAAGAAGCTCCAAAGGACTCTGAGGCCGTGTCCTTTCTCCGGGCAGACTGAACCCCCCTCCCCCGCGTCGCCTCGGCCGTCTGACTCCCTTCTGTTTTACTCGCTACTGGGTCGGCCCTTCGCAGTAGACCCCCGCACACAATAATCTCTCTAAAATAGGCTCCGCGGGGAAAGAGAGACCTTGTTCTCGCTCGCTGCTGACGGTGCTCTTTAATAATGTTCGCCATCATCCCCTCCGGAGGAACAAAGGTCTTCTTGACTCGTTGCTTTCTTCTGCTGATCCCTCGGCGGTTGACTTCTCTCCTTCCAATAACAAGGTCGTCTGATTTAAAATCCAAGTAGCCGTTGCCGGAGAGATTCAACCAAGAAGATGGCTACAGCCCACCTCGACCCTCCTGCGAGAAACGAGACCTCCGGGCCACCCGGTGCCCTCGTGGGTGTGACCCGGATCCACGAGAATAAAGAAAGAAACCCATCTTCAGAGTCTCCATAGCCGAGAATACCTACCAATAATGGAACTGGGTTGGAGTTGGCTGGCTCGGAAGGGGACGGCTCGCCGGAGCCACCTCGGCACGAGTGCTAACGCGACGTCACGGGGGGACGCGTTGCGGCCCGCTTGGACATGACCGTTGGAGCCTTCCGGCGTTCCCGCTTCCCGAGTCCCCTTACTATTCGCCGATTCCCGTGACGAGTATTACCGACCGTGCATGCCCGTGGTGTGTGCAAGCTTACAAGCGGAAGTGCCGCTGCGGAAGCGGCGGCGCCGGGGAAAAGAGAGCTCCGGCGAGAAGAAGCGACGCTCGAGCACATGCTTGCCGGTCAAGAACTCAGTCTAATCATTGCCGAGGACCTTAGCGTAGAGAGAGAGAGAGAGAGAGAGAGGAGGAGGAGGGGACAGCTGTGGAAGAAGAGATTCCTCGCAGTGAGCCCACGGGTAGACCTCCCAATCTTTAAAAGATTCGGGACGAGGGAGACGAACGCTGTTGGATGTACCGGGCATTTAATGAGGCAAGGACAGATTCCCCGGTCGGCCGGGCAGCGGCTGCAAGGTCCAAGCCGCACGTGAACGAAGAAGCGCGACACCTTGCCATCCGACGGCGACATCGCCGTCAGGTCCCGAGCCTCGGCTGTTCTACCTTAGCGACGGGTTACTGTCCGCGCGTGTGCAGGAAGAGTCCGCTTTGTTGTTTACTCGTGGAATCCAACGTCCATATAACGTGTTTTAGCAGCCTGACCTTCTTGCAGAGCAGCCCTCCTCTTCGAAAGAGAGACCAAGGAGACAAAAAGAAAGGGGATCAACCGGATGGAAAAGAGAGAGATGACGATAACAGCTCGGGGAGGAGGAGAGAGAAACAGAGATACGACAACAACAGGTCGAGGGGGAGGGGTGGGTGGGGCGGTGGGGGGAGGGTGCGCGAGAGAGATGACAAGAACAGCTCGGGGAACCCAAGTGAGGGAGGGGAGAGAGATGACAAAAGCGGCTGGTGGGGTGGCAATTGTGGCATTTGGGGGGATCCGGCGAACGTTGCATGCATGGAGAGTAGCCATGAGGGCATGTGGGGATTCACGGAAAACGAGCCATAGGAAACTCCAACTCGGGCTGGTCCAACTGCCCTCTTTGAAGAGAGCGGCGAGACCCTTTTGGTTTTTCATCGGATCCCCCGCCTGCGATCACACGTATAAAATGGGCGCCCATTTTTTAGTCGCAGCTTTCTACTTCTTTGGATTTGTATAACTCGGCATCATTTCTGTGCAATAGATTAACAAGAGTGGTATTGACAGCTTGATTGATCAAGACTAAGGCTAGATCAACCGATCCAAGCCTTTAAGCTAAATCCAATTGGGTCGAACCTCACAGAAAACAGCAAAGAAAAACGATAGGCCCGACTGATTCCAAACCACAAAAGAAATGATCTACCAATTATCATCCAATTTCAGTCCCAATCTGATTGATTCAGATCGATTTTGGGTGTGCTTTGCGTGTGATCATTTTCTCTCTGGAATCAGATCGATTGGCGCGGAACCTTGTTGGTCTCAGCCTTTCCAGAAAGGTTTAAGGGGAAATAGACGGCAGATTAGACGATGTTGTAGGGTGAGAGAAACTCTATGGTCTGGCAGGACCTGAGTGGGGTCCGGGTCCCGGCTAGCAGGGTCCAGGCCCTAATAAGCCAATGGCACAACCACTGAGGTCCATTATTGGGGTCCGTTCTAGTCTGGATCGTTTCAACATGCTGTCAGTTCTAGTCAAGAATCACGAGAGATGGGCTAATTGGTGGCGGTGTCAACTGGTTGGGCTGGGCTCGAGCTCAAATGTTTTTCCTACAAAGTCTAGGCCTGGGGGCATGCTAGAAAAATTGACTCCAGGTCACAACCAGACAACCATACCCGTCTGTCCCAGAGAGAGAGAGAGGATAGCCTAGATCTTTTGTCAAACCTGATCTTGACACAGTTATAAATAAGATTAAGGACAATCATAGTTAAACCTCAGCACCCGGTGAAAAGTATCGGGACATGATCAAACAAGATTAAGATTTTATGGATCACACTGGGGGCATAGGCGTCTGATTTGAGATTAGGGTTACTCAGCATTAGTAGTTGGGAGTTTCATCGATGACTCTAAAGATCCCTCCTCTCGATTCTGAAGTTTGGGAGGCCGGCACGACGGTACGCACTGAGAAGACTCTTGATCTTCTATAGAAGATCAAGAGGGTACCCTGTAAAACTTTTGTGTGAGCTTCAATCTTCTGATTCGTGCATATGATGGTGTTTTCATATTTTAAATATATATGGTGGGGATGTGACTTTTTTCTGTAGATGATATCGCATTTAGGAACATCAGTCGACTAATCTTCTTGATCTCTTCAGTGAACGAGCTTCGCGTGCTTCCTTCGACGCTGGTGTGACGTGAAAATTCTAAACATCACTCTCACATTATCGTTTACCTGTGTTTAGAAATCTGAGTAATAATTTAGGCGATCCAATTCATCTCGTAGGAACGAAAATAGGAAAGTCTTGTCAAAGAGCTAGTGAATTCGTTGAAATGAATGTAACTCAATTTTCAGAAAAGTTACCAACATAGAAAATTTTCAGAAAAGTCTTCTCAAACATTAATTTCCTTCTCTAGGGTAATAGTTCAGGGGAGGATATTCGGGGAGACGCCATCTTTGACGGTCTTCTCTTTCCCTTACATCCTTGCGTCCCCACCCTTCTCCCAGCGCCGCAGCCGCCGGGGACTGACGGTTCCCGAAGCAACTGTCGGCGGCAGACTCAGCCACCCCCGCTGGTCCCACTGCGCCGCTCTCCCCCCCCAGAACACAATCACCGACTGCCCTCACCCCCTCTTCACCGTCATCTTCCTCGTCTTCCCACTCTTCTTCATTTCTTCCATCTTCTACCCTCTCGTCGCCAACTACCGCCAGACCCACTGCGGGCAGCAGTCCCCCACTCCTCTGTCCCTCTTCCTCCGGCTCCCCTCTCCGCGTCCTCCGGGGCTCCCCCACCAGCGCCGTTGCCCGGCTATTTCCGAACGTCCCCGCCTCATCTTGTGCAGTTGATGAGGACGGTCTGTGGTGACTAGTTTCCTTCGTTTGGAAAACACGATGATCTGCGATCTCGTGCTTACCTTGCGCTTGTAATTGCTGTGCATATTTGGTAAGTGGTAACTGGTTTGAATTCTTCAGTCATTAACTATTACATCACATATAAATCACTAATAAATGCCGGTTCCCATTGTCTCCTGGTCCAGGTCTGTCGCATCATCTGGTCATAGACAGGCCATCTGACTCTCTCCAGGGTTCTATCAACTGAAATCAAGACATGTGGACAATGAAAACGAGGATACCCGATGAGCTGTATTTTATGATGAGCCATATAAATAACGAGTTTTGTTTTCTTTCTACACCAAGCTATTACCATATTACCAAGAAAACGAAACTCGGGTTTATTCATCTGTGGTGTTCGTCGTGAATCCGAGCTCGAGAAGTGGATTCAAGGAACGGATTTGGTGCCAAACAGTAGGTTAATCTAACGACACTATGTATTAACATCATTTTCGTATCGATGATGCAGTCCTCTTGAGCACGGACAACGGAGTGGGATGTCTTACTTTGCTCGAATATAATTATAAATCCTTGGGCGGGTTCTCAATCTTCCGTCACGATAGTTGCCACTTAATGTCAACGCGATTCCTAGTAGCTACTTTATCTTAAACTGGAACTTATACGGAAGCAGTGCAATTTTTCACACGAGATCCCCACCGCGAAGACGAAGTGACTTCAATCTTTTATCTTCTGGGCCATCTCCAAGTCCGGCTCCGTCCTATTTATTCAAGTTCTGGAGTAAATCAAAAATCACAGACCCTAGCAGTCATAGATTGAAGCAAACATACTGCAACGAAAGCACATATCGACACCATCACGTCAGCATCACGCCCATCTTCGTGTACATTGATTCGCCATACCTCCCATCTTCCCAACAAACGGATTTATAGGTACCCAGGGGAGTAATATTCAATAAAAAAGCGGAATGATGAGATCTTCGCGGCTGAGGAATGACAGACCAACGTATATCTATATATCTATATATATATATATATATAAATCTATAATGTATGAATAAATCCGTAGTGGTTCGAGGCTGGGAACATTCTTCTCAGACCATGCAAGAAGGGGAATAATGGAAAGAGGGGAGGTAGTGTTCGCTGTTATCGGGCTCTAATACACAGGCGAGTAAGATGGTTGAAACTACTAACGTGGGGAAGGGGTGGAGAAGCTTGAAACACAGTTACCTCACCAGGTTCCAAGAGGATTCAGCCAATTTTGTTTTTTGAAGTTTCTTCCTGTTTGGTGGAGAGGGTTTGAGACTGCGGCATCACCACGAGGTGTTCTCCCTCCCCTTATTCTTTCCATAGAGGCGGAAGAGGTTGAAGGCGGACATGCAGGATAGGGCCGCCATGCTGAGACTGACCACGAAGGCAAGGGCTATGCCCTCGCCTACTTGTCGGCAGAACTTCTTGTACATATCGCAGATCTTCATCCACTGCAGCTCCGGCTGCCCCCACTGCGCCAGCACCGCCGACTGGAGTGAAGTCGCCACCGCTGACAGCGTCACGTACGCCATTACCTGCCCGGGGGAGTTTCCGATCCATCGTCCCATCATTCACCACGCTCGCTTTTTTTAAAAAAAAGAAAAAAAAGGAAGAACTTCTCTCGTTGACCAACTGCCGGGACGGATAGTTACCTGATCGCCTGAGAAGATGGCCCAAGCCAAGGGCTTGTTGCACAGGGCGCTCCCTCTAATCATGCTCAGACCACACCGCAGTCCCTGAAGTAGGGAATATCCAGAAGCTATCCCATTCGCTATCACCAAGAACCTGCGGGACAAACCCTAGGACAATATAACTCGAAGAAAGAAAAGAGAGATGACACTAAAGAGATGGAGGGGCGGGAGGAAGGGTTCCCCGGTTCTCACACTAAGGCCTTCATGTCTGTGAACTTGGCTTTCTTCTCGACGGTGAAGAACCTCCTGACCTGATCGTCGGTGCCGATAATGAGTGCCGCGGCCAACCCTAAACCACATATCATCCACCTCAGAACCACTTCCGCCACCTTCATCCTCCTGTCCACCGCCTTCAAGCTGGCGCTTCCATAGTACACTGGAACGTTCCCGGGGCTGACCCCCACACCTGAGCTCATCTTCTCTGTTGAGCTGAGCTCCTTCACACACAAGGGGGGAGGGGGGTTGTAGGAGGGAATCGGAGGAGAGCAGAGGCGGCGGCTAACCTATCCAACACGTAAAACTCAGAAAGAAAGAAACCCCTCCCCCCGTTCTTTATAGACCCTGATCAACACGACGGGGCAGACATTATTTCATACTTCTTTTCGATTTTCAATCCACTCGGTGTCAAGCAACCTCTGCCCTTGTATTTAGAACCCCTCGCAAGTACGGACGAGTGTACACGATGCCATTAGATCGAATTGAAGTAATGGAGGTCTCGGGAGGAGGAGAGGGTGGACAGTCCCGGGACTGCATTAAGTTTCACCGGAGAGCGTGCATTAAAGGAACTTCGACTCGGATCAACGGAGGAAGGAGGAGGCGCTGAAAGGCCTCGCCGCCGTGGATGGGCTCGCCCGGAGGGGCGGGCTTCATGCCGGCCTACTGACAGGGGCCGTGCATTGAATTCTCCTTTAAGAAGGGTCGCTGGCATATTAATGGGGGCTTCCCCTTCTCCGGCCCCGTACAGAAGCATAGTAACTCTCCATCTCGTCAAAAAAAAAACCCCTTTTCCCCGGCGTATATAACTTTTCCACCATTTTGCTGCTCAAAAGACTGACGCCAGAATGCTTACAAATTCCTTTCAAAATCAAAGTGAACTTCGATTAAATAGTTCCGTCCGAACCAAAAAAAGAAGGGAAAATCCTTACAGACCCCTCAACCAGAGCCCTCTCCGGGTAAGATTTCACCGAGGATCATAAAGACCAGGAATTGATGGGACCGTCGTGCCCTCCCGCGCAGGGCACCCGTTGTGGACAAGCAGACTGGTCCCGCTTGCATTGCTCAGGCAGTTTCTCCTTCATCGTCATCGGGGCGACATCTAGTGCCCGCCGCACAGTATGTTCCAGAGCTTGGCCTGCCGTCCTCTTCCTCCTCTCGGCAGACCTCCCTGCGACATTAAGACAAACCCGACGGTCTTATGAAGTATTAAACCTCGAAAGCTGTTCGGTGAAGAAACCTATTTCGGGTTCTCCGAGAGGAAGCAGAGATCCTCACGCGATGGCACTGGTCTCGAGGAGATAAGACGAGACCTACCGGAGGAAGCCTCAAGGTGGGCGTGAGCTCATTTCCTCCCCCTCGATCGGCGGTCTCTCACTGCGGCAAAAAGCTCGAACTTCTTTCGAACGGTGAAAGGTTCCGATGGAGGCCACGTGTCCTACCCATTTATGGCCCACTGGGCTGCATCACCCATGGCCCATTTGATGCCAATGACCGCCAAGATCTGATGAACTAAACGATTGAGGATTCTACGGGTCAACTCAGCAGGAGGGGGGGTGAAGGGAGTGGGAGGTTCGAGGGAAGAATCTGTAGAAGGAGATTTTCCTCGACAGCGATTACTGTAGGGGTTCGCTATATCCTTTCCTCTCTATTCTACATCGTCTGGTTGTTTTCCTGCTTCGGGGCGTCATGGATCCCAGGATGTGGCACATAGTCGCTGGAGTCTCCGGTACTTCATTCCCCTCTGTCAATCTGCGTATTTAGAATTTTGCGGGACGATTGCTTGTTCTATTTGTGGTTCGCCGATACTCTGAGGTTTCTCAATACTCTGCCCTAATGATATTCGGTTTGAGCAGGAGCTGCTGCCGTAGGGCTTGGTTCCTATGGGGCACATATGTTCAAGCCCAAGAATCCTTCTTACAAGGAGGTATCATTTCCGGCTTCGGTCCCTTGGATTTCGTGGATAATTGTGTAGAAATTGAAACAGATCATTGTCTTGACGAACCTCGTGGTTTCGTGTTAACAAAAGGTTTGGCATACGGCGTCTCTTTACCATCTGGTTCACACGGCCGCCCTGCTAGCGGCTCCTCTCACCAAACGCCCCCACCTTGTATGCAACATTTGGATTTCCTGCTTCATTTGGCGTCCTGACGTTCTTTATTCTCTCTGTCTATATATAAATTCTTAATATATATTTCTCGTTTTTATGCTCCATCGTGGCAGTTTGGAGGCCTTTTGACTGCTGGAATTTTGACCTTCTCGGGGACGTAAGATTCGATTGCTGATATTCATTTCATGTTTTCTTCAGCATTTAATATTGACTTGGTAGATTTTCATCATTGAATGAAAAATTACTCCTGAGCGTTAAATGCTGCGCTTATAGATACTTTCTAACATCCAATTCTGCTTTCGCGATTCCTCAGAAATGAAATACCAGTTTTCTTCTGTTTTGTGGGTATAAATCTCCTTTTTCTTGTGTCGGCAATTCATTGCTAAAACGATAGGTCCACTCGCGAGTCTTGGTTTTGAGTTTGGTAAATTTTGGTGAAAACTTGAACTAGGAACGTTGAAACAGCTGCAAAATACTTCCTGATGGAGACCGACAAGGAAAGGCAACTGTGGAAGCAGCCGTTGTAGGAGAGCCCGATTTCTCAGAAACTATCTAGGTGCTATAGAACTATGCTTTCTGTGGCACGGGCGTGGTAACTGGTTACTGAAGAGAAACATTTATTCTTCTCTTCTCTGGTTGTGATACACGATGGGTTTGTTTATGAGGCACGAGTTGCTGCTTATCTGGATGGGGGTAACCAAATATTTTTATTATATTTTGATATATTACTATTTTTACTTAGTGGCCGGAGGAAAAGAGGAAGAACGAAAGAAAAAATAAATGGCAAGTTCAGTGAATGTGAAACAGAGGAAGTTACCTCGTGTGATCATTGAACTGTTGGTTCTTAAGCCCCATTCAAGCTGTTTAGCCTCCTGAAAACTGGAATCATCAAGAGAGGGACAACATCTTGCGCCCAAGATCTGTTCTTCATCGTCTGGTATTATACTAAAAAGAGAAACGGGATGATAGAACTGCACTGGTAAATCTCGTCGGAGAAAGCTCCTCCTTTTCATTAATGAAATATTTAATGTTTAATATTTTTGGAGATCTATCAGAAGCCTTTTGCAGAAAATTTACACAATGTTATATCCTTTTGCAAAGACACTTTCTTCTTCGTATATATCTGTTAAAAATCAATTGCTCCATTTAGCCCGCAATCGATCTACCATGGCCTTTCGCAAAATATCCCATGGCGGATCATTTCTCCATCGAAGCCCAATTCCTATGGTTTCACTGTTCTATCTTCTCTCTTCTATTATTTGGGAACCAATATCCTCAAGTTTTTATGAGAGAAAGCAGACATCTGTGCATCCTCAGGACACCAAGAGCTCCAATTCCAGCGTGTGAATTGGAATGCCAATTTTGATTTGAATCACTTTTTTCAGGTGCTACATCGTGGCTTATCTTGAAGACAGAAAGTACTCTTCTCTCGCACCTGTCGGGGGCTTTGCATTCATCGGTGCTTGGGCGAGCCTACTAATTTAGCATCAACTTCGAGAGGAGGTTGTACGTAAACTCTAGCTGTTATTCAACTCCAACTGCTTTATTTATTCAACGAAGAGCTAAAGACAGATTGCCATCTCTCCCAATTCGTGCTACTAAATCATTGGTGTTAGCCGATTTCCAACTCAGTGGGCTGACCGTGGGCTTGAATTCTAGTTCCCATCTTGGAACTGATTAAGAACCTTCAGTCATTAATATCATCTTGGAACCGATTAGGAGTCCATCAGTCATTAATATCAGTTGGTTGGCATGAGACTAGAGTTGCACCACCACCCAAGAGATCTCTACACCAGACATGCGGGACTAAACCTGGGGAAATCCCCAGAGCTGGGTAGACGAAGATGCTTGAATCGGAAGGGAAAAGAGAAAGAAAAGGTGAAAACGTGGAGAGTTTTGAAGGAATCGGCACTCAAGGCTGAGAGCGTTTGCAGGCAGCCGGCCAGCTTCTCCTCTCCTGCCTCGTGTCAGGGAAGGAACTCGAACCGGCACGAGCCATGGCCTGCGGACACGGTGGAGGAGACCATGAGCAGGAGGCCCCATGGACAAGCTGTTGAGCTAAAGTTCCTTACTTGGGTCGGACTCGGTGACCATGGCGGCGGCGTTGAAGTAGCAGGAGCCCCCCTTGTTTTTGAAATTCTGCCAGTAGCTGTTGAAGGCGTAGGAGGCGTGGTCTCTCACCGTATTGGGGAGGAAGCACGGCCGCCTGTTCTGTATCATGGTGCAGTTGGCGCCGCCCTTCCCGCAGGCCCAGTCGAGCGCCGCTTGCAGGACCTCGTCCGCCGTCTGCTCGTCCGCCACGCACCATTGCTTCTGGGGTTCCATCTCTGCCACAACGGAACCCAGAAGAGCGAAAGATTGAATGAAGGGGAAGCGAAATTGGTGAGCAGCAACTAGAACGAAGGAGCGGGCTTGGGCCCTTGCCTGCATTTGATGCGAGCAGGGCATGGATGAGGAAGAGCAGAGCCCACGCTGAACGAGTCCTTGTCGCCATCGCCTCGTCCCTCTCCTTCCTCGTAGATGCCGCTCTCTTGAGCTCTGAAGATAAGAGAGATAAGAAATGTAGAGAGAGAGAGCGAGAGAAGGGTGGAGAGGGGGGGGGGGGGACCTCGCCATGGAATCACGTTACCTTCCTCCGGGCTTTTTGCCATTTTGGGATTCGTTCCTCTCACATGCTCTCTCCGGGACGATCCTTGCCCCTGGAGCAAGCAAGAACAGATCGAGCCGGCGAGGGAGGAGATGGAAAGTAGAGAGAGAGGACACACCGACTTCCACTCAGATTCTCTGGCTCGCGCTGCCATCATCACCAGGAATCATTCTTCTCAAAAAAAAAATTAAGCCCACATCGTCCCCCCTCCAGGCATGAATTCTCGGTGCATGCACGAATTCTATAAGTTGTCTTGAAATTTCGGTGTGATTGCAGTCGAATCAATATATTATTCACATAGAATAGAAAGTCGGGGGGCTGGGGGGTTCTCAAAGAAAGCAGAGTTCCATGCAGTCAGACGTCTAGAGCAAACGTTCACGGCCACATCTAACCAAGTTCGAGCAAGATGAACCGGGGGGGGGGGAAGCCGGCATTCGTCGACCCTTTCTGGGTCGAGGCGCGCACGCCCTTTACATATATCTCCAGCACTTTAGAAGAAAAAAATAAAAAAATCAACTCCCCTCTACAGTGATGTACAGAGTCGCCAACAAGAACATATTCCGCCGCTGCCTGCAGATGCCCTCCACATGATTTGATGAAATGCACCAACTTCAATCACCTGCTAATATATGAGAACAAATGGCAGACATAATGAATGAGAAGGGTGTGGAATGTTGTGAGAAGCTCACCCTGTTTTGATGGCAGGGGCCCCGCCATCATCAAGAGCCCCACTCTACAGGTCTCGCTCCGCCATCATCTTATCATACTCAAAGAAACGGGCCACGGCGGAGTAGAGCTGCTCCTCTTCGAAGGGCTTCGACACGTAGTCGTCCATTCCACACCGCGCGCACTCGACATGCGTCGCCTGGATCACGTCGGCCGTCATGGCCAGTATGGGGACGTGCCAGTGAGCCACATTCCCATACATCTCCTTCTTCGTCTCCCCGAATCTGATCTCCTCGTTGACTCTGCTCTCTATGGACCGGACCAGGGTGGTGGCTTCGAACCTGCAGAGATTTTGGAGGATTCCAATTCAGGAAGGCCCTTGACCAAGCAAACCGGGGGAATCTTCACGGCGTACCCATCCATCTCCGGCATCTGAACATCCATGAAGCATGCGTCGAAATTGTGAGGCGGCCGGAGCATCTCCACCGCCGCCTTCCCGCTGTCCGCACAGGTGACCTTGGCCCCAAACTTCTTCAGGGCTCCAGCCGCCACCTTCCGGTTGACCGCGTTGTCGTCAACGACGAGGATGTGCCTCCCGTTGAGTATGCTCCTCAGGGCCGGGGGCCTTTGACCACTGCTCTGCTCCCTCTTGCTCCCCACGCCCAGGGCCTTGTGGAGGCATGCTGACATCATGCTCAGGCGGAGCGGTTTCAGCATCACGCCGTCGACATGCCCCGCCAACTGGAGCTCGTCGATCTCGGCGTGCCGGCGAGACGTTGCCAAGATGAAGATCTTGAGGCGCCGCTTTTCGGCGGGATGTGTCTTCTCGTGGCGTCGGAGCTCCCTGAGGAGCTGGGAAGATTCTGGGTCAGAGCTGCTGTTCCAGGTCTCCTCGTCCACGAGCACCATGTCGATGTGCTCCGGCGAACTGAGCCCGACAGCAGATTACAAAAAAAAGAAGAAAAAAGGCATCATCTTAGCATGTTTCTAAAAACACCCGACAAAATTAAAATGGAAGAGAACGACGGATGTTCAACAAATAATCACCGTTCAGGAACAAGCTGTAAATCTGAAACTTGCTTACCTGGGTCTCCAAGCATTGGATATGAAGGAGAACAAAGATGCAGGGCTGATCATGATGTCGGCTTTTATCCCAAGCCTCTGCAAATGGTACTTGGTCACCTCGGCCCGGACGCTCCTCCCATCTACCACCAGCGCGCTCATTCCTCGAAATTCGGGGTTGTTAGATGGGTGCCTCTTTAGATCGGCCGAATTTCGATACCCTTCCCTGAACACGGCGGTGAAGGTGAAGGCGCTGCCGACGCCCGACTCGCTCACAAACCCTATTTCCCCGCCCATGAGGTGCACCAGGCATTTGCTTATGCTCAGACCGATGCCGGTCCCTCCGTAGGTCCGGGAAGTAGAGCTGTCGGCTTGCATGAACGGCATGAACACGCGGCTCTGTGCTTCGGATGGTATCCCAACGCCCGTATCTTCGACCGTCACCAGCAGGTTGACTGCGTCGACCGCGTCCGACGAAGAGTTGACCATCTTGAAGTTTTCCCAGATCCTCCATCGGTCAACGACGTGGAAACCGCTCAAGGTGTTGTGGGTCCCACCTGCGCCATTCTCAACTGGGGCTGTATTCCTCCTCAGTGCTTGGCTGCCGTCGTTGCAGGTGCTCTTTACTTCTTCCGCCAGATGCAGCGAGACAAAAATGTGTCCTTTCTCTGTGAACTGCGCATGGTTTATGAGACAGAATTGTCCTCAATATATTCGAAATAAAATAATGGGACCGATAAAAAGGAGATTATAGACTAATTATGGGTTCAACCAGGAAGCCGAAATATGATTTCGGCATGATGAGTAGTTAACGATTTTAATTATAGCCTTTCTACGGTGGCCGCGCTAAACCGGCATAAATCAGTAGAATGACAACTCAATTATTAGCAGGAACTGAAAAATAGAAGCAATCAACTTCATGAACGATCATATTAGTCTTTCTTTCCCCCCCAATCAGACAATTCTCTGCTTTTCACCCTCAACCGCGATAATTTTCCTCTTCTAGTAGGATACATTGATGAAGAACTTACTAGAAATCATGCCAAATTAGAACTCATGACAGAGCCACCTAAATGTCGCAAAAAAAAGAAGAAGCAAGAAGGCAACTTTTTTGAACAGAGTGTCGCCACTCTGACTCTGATCTGTGCGCAATCCGAGTCCACAAGGTTTGCAAGGTTACATTCAGTACGGAGACTGGGCATGCAAGTGCAAAGATTCTGATGATTAACCAGAGGATCATGGATGATATTGGTTCCCAATATTATTCTTTCTGGTGCCGATAAGTACTTGGATTGTGAGAAGGAAATACCCCTCAATTATGCAAGGATATGAGACACAAAGAAAAGAAAGAAATGAAACAATCAATCAATTTACTGGCTTACCTTTATTGAATTTCCCACAAGATTTGTGATGATCTGTCGAAATCTCCCTGGGTCCCCAACGATGACTTCTGGTACCCCATCCGACACATACACCGCCAACTTTTGTCGCCCAGATGAAAAATAAAACAGAAAGAGCACAAATAAATAAATAAATAAATAAATAAGCTAACATCCGAATAGATAGATTCCTATTCTCGCCCTCCTTCCGAGCTTTTCTAATCACAATTCCTCAGCCACTACTTGCACAAAACTAGAAAATTCATGAGGACCAAAAATCTGAAATTTCCATCTGGGCTCATTAATTTATCATAAGAAAGGAATATCCTTTATTTACCTCTATTCCCTTCTCAAGTGACTTATCAGAGAAAAGTGATAGCACACTATCCAGGACTGCACGAACGTCAAAAGGAACGGCCTCAAGCTCAAGCCTGCCTGATTCTATCTTTGCCTGATCAAGGACCTCATTTATCAGGGCTATTAAAGCCTTCCCGCTGTCCTGGGCAGTCATTGCATAGTCTTGCTGTGTTGCATCAAGATCTGTGTCCATCAGCATTTGAAGCATTCCTAGAAAATGGCCACATGTTTGACAATTAATTTTCTGGAGATAGATTGCAGATTTGACTTACAGAGACCAAGGAAAGACTTCTGAAGCCAACGAAATTTTAAATAAAACTAAATGATAGAGAGACTTTATAAATCTCTCGAGTAAACCATACAACTGACCTAGTACGCCATTCATTGGAGTCCGGATTTCATGTGATACGGTTGCTAGAAACTGCAAGAGCAACAATCAAAATTATCATATGAGATGTAAAATAAGACCATCTGTAGCAAACGAAATGGTTCCTGATTTCGTTGAACTGAGCTACCCCAACTTAAAATCAGAATCAATCGTAGGAGTCAAACAGGTCATCTAAATAACCTTTGACCGATTCCCAACTGATGTGAAACTGTCACATATCACTCATCCTCTAACTCAGGTAGGCCTTTTTGGATAATCCGAGTGATTTTCCTAATGAACATATACCCATTAACTACAATGATATGAGAAAAGGAAGAACCTGAGACTTTGCTATATCGGCAGCTTCTGCTCGCCCTTTCAGCTCCCTCATTTCATGATAATCATCCTCCACCTTCTCAATACGGTTTATTGCTGCATAAAATATGTGCCCAAGAAGCAAGACAATCACAAGAACTCCTGTTGATGTTGTTACTGCGGACCATGGTGGTGGGAGTTTCTGTTTGAATCTGAGGTTCAAATGAAAGAAGAAAAATGAAACTTAAGAAACTGCCCGTTATATCAGCTCTGTGGAGCGCAGTAATAGAGGTAAGGTAGATTAAAAAAAATGATTCCTAGAAGAAAGAGTGATAATGCATAAGCCACAACGTGCAATAGTAGCAAATATGGTGCATTATAGCTAAACTTGAGGTGAATAGCGAACATATGCCTCCTGATAATGCGACGTCCTTGTGGAGGATGCAGCCCCTTCGCTATTTTTAAGGTCAGAGAAAATTCATGTCATCAATCACTTGGGGTTCATAATCAGGAAATTACCAGGATGATTGAGCACCTGAAGTCCGTGAGTGCCATGGGCAGAAAGGATGACAAAGTCTTTTACAACTTATTAGTCATTTGAACTTCCATTTTGTAAGGGATGAATATTTTCAGAGGCCTTCATAACTATGAAGCATCTCACATAAAACATGATGGCAAGAAGACGGCAAACAAACTCACAAATGAAGACCAAACAGATGAGCCTATCACTTTTTATCTGGATTCCTGTGAAGATTTTCTGCGGTGTTCCATTGCTAGTGTACTCAACTAGGCACTGATCGCTATAAAATAGAGATCGCTATAAAGCAAATCCGTAAACAACCGATGGGAAACCATTGTGTTCTGCTGCCGATGGATAGGAGTACCTGCAATGCATTTCGTGCTTTCGCAATGGATCTCCAAAGTCCAGATGGCTGACATGCAACAGGCCTGTGTCAGTGGCATTGGGCCCATACATCCTCATAGGATAGGAGCTATTAGTTGTATCATAGACATTAACAACAATTGTCTGCTTGCTAGCAAGTTGATGAAGAAGCTTCTCTACCAAAGATGGCACATCAAAAGACGCACCAAGGTACCTACCAAAACGTATTTCCTGAGATTAGCTCTTTAATCCTTTGAGATTCCACTTCAATGCAAAGAGTTTCGGTATAAAATTATAAAGCTTCAAGCAAGTATAGGAACACCCACCCTACTGTGGCTTTAATGCGCTCATCAGGGGTAGCGTCTGAAGGTAAGTCTCTGTTATATACAGCAAATGTTAGCACCACACCTAAGTGGTTGGATTTTAGAAGCTTGAAAGGGGAGGTCAAAACCCCCTTCCCCGTTGCCCTTGCACGCAAGATGTTCTCACGATCCTCCTACATAAAGTGGCAGAAACTGAAGTAAGTTTAAACTAAACCTCTAGTGTATTTAAATGGAATGACAAAGTAAAGAACAGATATACGTCCGGGCATAAAGGTACGATTTTTAGTGCATGGGCGAGGTGAATAGAAGCCCTATGAAGGCACATTCAAGGAAACGAAGCAGGTGGTGGTCTACGTACGTGGGTTGCCTTTTGCATGTACAACATGCTTTCAAAAGAATGCATGACGAAGATATTTTCTTTCTTCCCCTTGACCTTTAGTTTTTGTGCAGAGAGAGAAGCAAGAAAATGAACAAGCCTTTGGTCCAAAAGGGCGAAAATTTTCACCAGGTGTAATTTACAACATTAAAAGAAACTTTTCTGCAACTGCAGAAACTTCCATAAAGCAATGATGAGAGCTCAAGAACTAAATTAAATTAAAGCATCCCCATCATCTAAGATGATTTTGCATTAAATCTCTGTATCATGGATCCAGAGGATACTCCTGAACCAAAAACTCCATGTGCATTGTAGAGTGAGTTCAAAATCCGGCAACAATAGACTAGAACATCCGTAAGAAACAACAAAAAAATCTCCAGAGGAAAAAAATACTTCACCTTTCCGGACATCATATCAATGGAGACGATGTGAGCGACAGTTTCTTGGGAGAATATGACAGGTGCATATTCATCTTGAATAGGTGACGGGTCAAGTCTCTCGGTCATGTACTCATTCCGCACGGGAGATTGATCCTCTGTCTCCATCTTCTTTATCGTCCATCCATGCTGCTTCTCAAACAGCTCTCTTTCCGAATGCACTACTCTTAATGCATATGCAACACCACTTGTCAGTGGCCTTTCAAATGCCGTTCTTGCTGTATACTCCGCGAATGTTTTCTGCCAAAATACATTGGAACAAAATTAGACCCGTGGGCAGTATTTACCATTCACCTTGTGATCCATTAACAACTGAACACACAGGTCATATTGTGAAGCTAATTCTTATTTCCACCCTCAAAAAGTGAAAAAAAAAAGAGATTTTCAACAAAATAATATCTTATGGAAAATTTAAACGCTACAAACAAGGAAACAGATATTTGGGCGACGTTTTAAAAGCTAACTGGGATGAAAATAGTAATATTCGGCAACCCTCTGGAGAATTAAAACTACAACATTGAAAATGCCTATAGCTTGCAATAAATGATAAGATGAACTGTTTTATCTGATGCAAAAAGAAACCTGATCAATGGCAGACGGTCGTTTCCCATGATGGAATGTTGAGACAAGAATAGCAAGTGCATGCACATGATTCATACTGACATTAAACTGATCCTGTAGCATACGAGCCCTCTCATCACACATGTTTACAAGGTTTTCCTTATTTCTTGACATGGTATTTGCACTCATTATCAAATATATCCACAGAGACACAAAAACCCCAGAAGTGACCCCCACAAATAGGAGCTTCTTTCTCCACAATCCACACTTTGAGCTCCGTGTCTGTTGTGGCAGCTGAACTTTGAAAATCTCGGAGCATTTGCATAACGTAGCATGAACAGCAGAAGCCTTGCGGTTCGCTAGTGCAGCTACCAAGGCCGACCCAAGAATCTTCAGGAGAAGCTTCGCAAGACTTCCATAATAGTCCCACCTACATTTAACTGATTCTCTTGTCTCCAGGATATTGGTGCAGTCCTACGAGACACCAATGCATCACAATGGAAATCGGCTTAGAGGATATAACAGAAAGAAATTATTTAATAAAAGATAAAATAAGATGGCAGGTTTTCTTCCACATTTTCAATTACGTCCATTGACCAATTTGAATCATTTATATATATAGGAAAATGATATGTGGCAATGACCGTCCAATGGAAATGCACCAAGGACTGCAAGACTAACAGGTGAAACTTTACTTATGAAGCAGAACATATTAAATATGTGGACAGAGCAACCTCTCCTATTTTAACGGATAAAATAGGCATCACACGGAAGGAAGAAAAAAACTAAAGTTTTAGCATTTATTGAAAGGAACACTTCAATTCATCCAAGAAAGCAAGAAAGCAATTCGTGTGGAAAGGAACCAAGAAAGCAACACTCAGCCATTTCATCACTATATCTGTAGCCCTAGGCCTCTCTTTTCGGTGGTTGCTCTAAAGGATACAGCGTGACCGTATACTATAGTCATCAGTTTCCTTCGCCCGTATCCTTCAAAAATCACTGGGAGTTGTTCTATTGCACAGAAACTATGGATAGAAGATAGTAGCTTTTCTATCAACCAGCCAATCTTCATCAAACTTCCAACAGATGTCTCTTGTCCTGACTGGCCAATCTAGAGTGTTGCCACCTCTCGGCTGACCTTACAGAGCAAAGGCTATCTAAATGGCAAACCATGAAGTATGATAAAAGGATGCCTTTTGCCCTCCAGTTGACTGTTAACTTTAAGACTCCGATGTGGCATCATTCCATGGATATAGAGGTCAATTGTGTACTTTTGACACTGATAGCTCAGTCAATATCTTGTATTCTGGATTACTGCATCCAACTGCATGGTACTAATTTCTACTCTCGACAAGAGAGAATACATGAGACGAAAAATAACAAAATGTAAATGTAGCAGTATACGTTCAAAGGAATATGAACATAGGAAAAAAGGCAAATACTTCAGATTAAAATTTAGGGGGGGTTAGGGCATTTCAAGGACATTATTAAAATGAATCGACATTTATGGTCCCCGTACTCAATACGATTCAACACAGAACCTTCTCTTGGGGAATGGGTCAGGATGAGTTCTTTGGCACTTACCCTTTCTTTCTTACCCTTATATATCAGGGTGCCCCGGGCTATATGCATCAGGGTAATAAATGTCGTCACTGTATCTCTTCTTTAGGGTTCCTCAATTTCATGTAGAGTGAATGGGCGGGAAACATGCATGCATGTGCATGGGAGACACGTAAGCACATCTCCAGCTATCTTTTTCCTGGTGCCATACTCCATCCCCCCAAACCCTTTAGACATCCTATCATCTCTATTTTGCTTGCCTTTCTCAAAGGGCCCATCATCATTCAGCTCATTGATGCTACAGGAAGATATGCGGCCGAGCTGTGACTGAGATTTAGGAGCAGTTCATGAGAGCTTTTTTACAGAAATTTAATCCTTCGATTTGATGATAGCCTACAACGAAATAAATCCATAAGCTGCCTCCTGTCCTATTATTATAACCAAAATGTATATCCTTTGAAAGAATTCTTCAAAGGTCAAACCATATTGCCAAATACAGCGCAATGGCTCAATCCTAACTTCTCAAATGAAGACCACGTCACAGTTGGAGAGTCAATGATGACCGCAAATACAACGTCTTGCCCAGGAAAGTGGCAGCTCTCATCGTGGAAAGGAAAATAATGTCAATCGCTTTTCCAAATAGTGGCTTTAATGATGCTGTTATTCACCACCAGGGTCATATGGAAGCTGCCACCAACTACAAGAAAACTATTGTGAGCTACCATCAATGCGAGAAATGGCAATGAAGAAGTCTTTTATTACTGGTGATTGGTGAATAAAACCGCTTGTTCCACTATTTAAGGCATGCTATCACTTCAATGTTTCATTACAGATGGATGATGAGTTACTAGTCAAAATAGTCACATATTGGGTAGAATAAATAAAATGGCGATTCTGTGGATTCACCTACTTAATGTCTGTTAGTTTGAATTGATTGCCCCAATCCCTTGAAAGGGCATTCGAGCCAACAGTTGATATTTGGCTGAAAGCATCCTATTTTACTTATCGATATGACCAGGATAAAAAGTCAACTTGCGAATGACCATATGATTTTACTTATCCTATTTTACTTATCCATATATGTCCTAGAATAGTCTTATATCGAAAAAATAAATAAAACCATATGATTTTATGAATGGGCCAACTCCACCCATTTCTGGATTTGAGCTGGAGACCTAGACACAACAATATTATTTTGCAATTCTCAAACATGCAAAGATAACAACTAACCCATAAACCAAGGGCAGTTGCGAGGACCTCATAATTCTACAGTAAAGTAGAACCATACGGCAAATTTCCTCCCAAGTGGGAGGAGCTCGCACGATGCGGCAATGCATGAGAAGTCTAATACAAAAAGCAAATTCCATGTGACATACGAGAAGCAAAGCCGTATAAAAGGAGAAAAAGGCAAAAACGTTAACCACTGATGCTCCAAAGGATAGGAGTGCCTGAAAAGTGTGGGAAAAACCCACACAGCATGGAATTGCATGAGAAGTCTAATACGCAAGAAAATTCCATGTGACATACTTGAAGCCAAGCATACAAAGAAGTTTATTCATTCCATATCAAAAATAAAATTAAGAGAGAAAAGGCAATAAACTCAAAACGTGGTGCTCAAGAAGATAAGTATGCATGAAAAGCAAGGAAAGAACCCACATGAATGCACAAGAGACCTGATGTTCGAGTGAATTCCATGAGGTGTACTTGAATTGAAGGATATGAACAGGTTTTTCCATTGCATATAAAAAGGAAAACGAAGGAAGAAAAGGCAATACAATTGGCATGTGATGTTTAAAAGGATGAATGCGCGTGAAATGCAAGGGAATAATCCACATGGCATGACAATGCTAGAGAAGTCAAATATGCAAGTAATGTTCTATATGACATACTTGAGACAAAGGATGCAAACCAGTTGTTCCATTCCGTATATAAGGGATAACAAAAAGAGTAGAGGCAATACAATTTCTACATGATGTTCAAAAGAGTAGAACCCACACGACAAAGCAACGGATGAGAAGCCTAATTTGGAAGCAAATCTCAAGTGGCATCCTTAAAGGGAAGTAAACAAACCAGTTGTTTCGTTCCATGCAGAAAAGAAAACAAAGAAAGGTGATAAATTGACACTTGATGCGCAAAAGGATAACTGTGGATGACAACTGAGGAAAGAGCCCACAAAGTGTGACAGTGCACAAGAAAGTTTAATATCCCAGCAAAATCAATGTGGCATAAGTGAAGGAAATGAACAAGTTTGTTCCGTTTTATATTTAAAAGGAAACAAGGCAAGAAAAGGTAATAAAATGAACACGTGAGGCACAAAGGATAAGTGTACATGAAAAGCACAGGAAGAACCCATATGACATGGCAATACATAGGAAGCCTAGCCTAATACGCTAGCAAATTATATGACATACTTGAAGCAATGGATGTGAACAAGTGCTCCATTCCATAAAAAAGTGAAAAAAAGAAAAAGAAAAACTGGTAAAATCAATAATTGGTATTCAAAAAGATGAATGTGGTAATGCATAAGAAGTCTGATATGCTATCGAATTCCGAGTGGCATACTTGAAAAAGGAGAAAGAAGATATTCCATTTCATTTCAGGAAGGAAAAAAAAAAGAAGAGAAGGCAATAAAATCACCACGTAACGCTCAAAAGGATAAGCGTGCATGAAAATCATGGAAAGAACCCGAATAACAGGGAATTATTGAGACACCTAATACGTTAGGAAATTTTGTGACATACGTCAAGTGAGGTTATGAACAAGTTGTTCCATTATAGATGAAAAGGGAAACAAAAGAAGAAAGGGCAATAAATTGAAACGTAATTTTCAGCAGGGTGTGTGCATGCAAAGTATGGAAGGAACCCACATGAAATGGCTATGCATAGGAAGCTTAATACTCTGGCAAAGTCCCGTGAGACGCACTTTAGGCAAAGTATGAGCAAGGTTGTTTGAATCCTCAACAAAACAGAAACAAATGAAGTCCACAAAATTAGCACGTGAGGTTCAAAGGGATGAGTGTTCATAAAAGTTGGTAATTGACCTGGTACGATTGTCATGCCATGTATCGAGTGTTCAACACACTAAAAAGTATTATCAGTCAATGATCTTCAAGAGTTACACATCATTCACATGTTGAATATATTGGATATTCTTCTCTTTACAACTATGTTTCTTAACAAAACAACAGATATCCTAAAAGAGGAAACAACTACAAAAATATATAATTAAATCGTGGAAGCCTTTTTTAACTAAATTTATTAGATAAAAATAGGATAATTGACTTTAAAGAGGATCTTACTTGTTCACTCCAAGAGAACAGATAAGGATTACCTTCTACAGAGAAGACAATAGCTCGTCTTCTAAATAAAAAGACAGCAAGGTGCCATGTTGACTGAACCCTAATTTTGCTTGCCCTCAACAGATGATCTTGATTTGAGTACTTCATGAAATGTAAAAGTGGCACCTAGAAACGTAGGTCTAAGCAATAGGAATTGGTGTCGGAACACAATTAGAAAATTATTAGAAAATTATCTTTCGTCATGCTGATAAGCCATGGTATGTCTTGCATCCCCCTGCATAGTCCACTGAAGAAGGCTTCCCCTAACACCTTGACAATGACAATTCATTCA